ATATTATATAGATACATGCGGTGCGATAAAGAAAATGGTCTTAAAATTAGATCAGAAATTAGAAAGAAAATTAAACTTTATAATAAATTTATTACAAAATTCCGATGCAACTGGACCCACGATCGAAAATCAAAATGATAATGGCAATGGACTATTACCTGAATTTCCTCTAGAAACAACAGAGAACCTTGTAAAATTTGAAGAGGAGGTTCAACGTGACACACAAATTCGAAAACAGTTTGTAAGTATTTTAAAAATATATAAAAGAAATACATATATAAAATATATAGATAAAATAAATAAATAAAAATAAATAAATAAAAATATATATACATAAAGTATATAAATAAAAAATATAAAAAGTTATCAAAAACTAAATGTTTTATAAACATTAAAAAACTTATTTAAAATACTGATTGAAAATAATTAAATAATTAAAAAAATTTAATGTCTTTTATTTAAAATAAATGGATAAGAGGTTATTTAAAATATTACATAATAAATAAATAAAATAATACATAATTATTAAATTTCTTTATTTTAAATAAACCGGTTTTTGTAATTAAATGTACTTAATTTAATCATGCAAAGTGCAATAATGAGATGTTATTTTACAGAAAAACAGCATTGCAAAAATTGGTGGCCAAACATATATTTACAGAACCCGAAATATTTTGAAAACTATTTTGGCTGAAAAATTATCAAAAAAATTGTCATGGACTGGACATAAGGGGTCAATGGCAATCAAAAATTTTGGATTTGCCAGTATTATAATAGGTAATTTATTTTATTTATTTTATTTATATTCATATTTTATCTTACCGAATTTAGATGTTTTAAAAGCGTTTAATAGTTAATAATTTTCAGCTTATATTATTACAATGCAACATATTAATAATTTAACTTATTTTTTAATTATTCCAGATTATGTATCAACCACGGATCAATGTACATTAAATAATGTAACAAAAATTCTTCAAGAATGGTTACGACGCGCAGGCGATCGAATTAGTTACGCTGCTAAAAAAAATAAAGCTCAAAACCAAGCACAAAATGAAGATTTATAAATGCAATAGCTGTACATCAGATCAACAGAGTAAGTACGCCTCGATAGAGTAAATATCGCTAGTAGTTTAAATAATAAATTTACTTATTGTTGAAATAAATAATAAATAACAAATAATAAATAATAAATAATAATAAAAAATAAATAAATAAATAAATTATAATAAATAATTATAATCGGATAAATCATGTTTCCTTAAATGGTAAACGTCTTTAAAAAAAAATAATTAATTCTTTTCTTTTGCAATTAAATTGAATAATTAAATTGATTGTCGATCCTTGAACACAGAGATATATGATCCGGTAGCCTCGTCGTAACACGTTAGATGGCATCTTGCTCGTAATTTCACGTTACTATGTATCCGTTGCTAGGTTAAATTGATGTAAAGTTGACACAACTTGACAAGTGTTTATATCAAGAGCCTGACAGCTTTGATAGTTAACCGCGAATGTTACTTTCCGCGATAAAACACGGTATTTGCTTTCTTGCTGCCGCGTCATGTGGAGCGATATAGAATAAAATTTTTATTTCATGAAAATGTGACCTTTCACCTTTTGTCTGTAAATTATCTTGTTAGGTTATGAATACGTGCCTTTTAATTCTTAACTTTTGACCCGTAAATCACTCGTTTGATTAGAATTTTTCATCCTGTCAACCTCACAGTAGGTGATCATA